GAAAAAGAATTGTTTTTGTTAAAATTTAGATTGATAATATAATTTGTAAAAAAAAAAAGTATAAAATTGTTATTCTTTTTATCTGTTTTAGTTGCTTTATTAACTATGCCAAATTAATAACATTGGTGAACAACAGTCTAAGGCAAACAAAAAAACAAGAAAAAAACTGTTGATTGAACATTTGGTGAAGTTGTCAAAACATTCTGATGACAAAGATATTTTCTGTATGAAATAACCTCGTCAAGGTCATCAAACCAAAGCAATAATTGCTGTTAATGTTCATTTATTTCCAACTTTTTTCTTCTTTTTTTGTTTTTTGGTGATCTTTGTTAATTAGTTGTATTCGCTTGTCGTAATTTTGGAAGGATATCTGTTCAAAATTGATGATGTATCAGTTTTAAAACAGAGTGAATATTCTGTTTCAAAGTGTAGAAGAAAAAATTTTTTACGTCAAGATCTACACAACATATAGTCATTCATTTTATATGCAACAAGAAAAACCTCTCTAACTGTTATATCTTTTTCAACATATCAATATTAGGTAACTTAGGTTAGTGCTGTTTACAGCATATGTGCATTTTTTTGTTTTGCTTTTTCTTTTTTTGAAATGATATGGTCAGATAATATTCAGATAATAACTTTTTTCGCCCAAATTGAATACTGCGAAAAAAAAAACTAACTCTAAAAACTTTTTTTTTTTATACATTACTATAATTGATATTATACTGACATTATCACTGGACGATTACAAATAAAAAAAAAACACAAAAATACCTTGACAAACGTATGAAATTCGAAACTTTAGGGAAAAATGGATGGATTCAGATGGACATAACAATGGCAAATCTGTGTCGCCATCCGGTGAAATACCTGCGCAGATGTAACTGATGAAGTGCCGCGGATCGATGTGACTGGGGAAAAAACGAAAAAAACGGGAAAAAAAATAGGCAAAACAAAAGTTCATAAAACCTTCATTTACCATATGTTACATCACAAGAAAACCGATCTCGACACATGCTTTTTTTTTCCTCTGTCCGCTCTTATTTTTTTTTTTTTGTCTTTCTGCTTTTCAAGTATCATCTTTATTCTGTAGAAAAAATCTGCTTCTATTTTGTTGTTGTTGTTGTTGTTTTCGTTTTTTTTCTCAATAAAAATAAATAACGAATTAACAGCTGTATTACTATCAAATAATCATCATCAGCACCTATAACAGCAGCAACGGATAGAGGTAATAAAAGCTCTTATCAAAACTGCAGCCATGGGATAAGACGATACGGCTGATGGTTGGTGCTAAACTCTATTTCATTTATGTTATCATTATTATTATTATTATTATTATTATTATTATT